GTGTTGATTAATTTCGGATTGCTTGGGCTATGTAAAGTGAATTCTAAATTTTAACGTTTATCTGATAATATAATAAGTTGAGTGGTGTGAAAGGGAGGATATTAAGTTAAGTTTAAATGGCGGTGCAAGAAATATGGGAAAATGGACATTTTGTGAAAGGAGTGTAAGGAAGGGTACGTGGTTTGCTGAAGTAGTTTGAGTATAGGTGAAATTTTATTGATTTCTTATACTTGGGAATAGACTTCCAGTTGACTACTGGATTTAGGATTAGAAATAGCAGTAGTACTGCAGCCACGTAATGAGATTAGGATTAAGTTAGTATTTTTAATCATTTGAGGATATTATTTTATGCATTGTTCTAAAGTAAGGAGTAAATAAATTAATGTGGTATTATTGGAAAATTGTTATTAGCAATGATTAGTTTAAAGTAATTAGGATGTAATCTAATTTTTATTAATTTAATGTATGTGCTTATTTATATTTTAAGTAGTGTTTTTAATTAATTATATTTTAATTTAATGATCGTGATTTTGTGAGTTTATATTTGAGGATTTTGGAATACGTTGAGTATTTCATGCATTTTCATGAAATTTTTGTAATTTATGAGAAAAAAGCAGTGTACAGCGCAATTCTGGGATGTTTTTTTAAGTAAAAATAAGTCGACGTGTACATGGTTTAGTGATATTTTCATTAAATGATAGTATTTTGTGAATTTTATATTTGTAGGAATTTGGTATACGTTTCAGTTGAGTAAACGTGTATGGAAATAATTTAAATATTTGACACTAAGTATTTGTAATTTTTAAGTTTTATAAATTCGTTAGTGTTTATATATATATAGATAATTAGAGGAAAAGCTTTTGGATATTTTATTTATTTATACGTGGAAATGTCATCCTTGGAAAGGGTATATACTTTTCGCTATGAGGTAATTTCATATAGTTCTTTTTACTGGATTTAAGATTCACAAAATTTCATGCATTTTCGTGAAATTTTCTAATTTATGACAAAAAGCAGTGTACATGGATATAGTGAAGAGTGTGCGCAATGCCATTTTTGTGCAATTCTGGGATGTTTTTTTTAAGTAAAAATAAGTCGACGTGTACATGGTTTAGTAATATTTTAATTAAATGATAGTTATTTTGTGAATTTTATGTTTGTAGGAATTTGGTATACGTTTCAGTGGAAGTAAACGTGTATGGAAATAATTTAAATATTTGACACCAAGTATTTGTAACTATTTTTAATGCTTGCGTATAAATTCGTTAGTGACGTTTATAATATAATAGATATTTAGAGGTAAAAGCTTTTGGATATTTTATTTATTTTATATGGGAAATGTCATCCTTGAAAGGGTATTACTTTTTCACGATCAGGTAATTTCATATATGTCTTTTACCGAGTTTAAAGATTAAGAAAAGTTTCCCATTTTGTGCAAATTTTTGTAATTTAGAGAGAAAATAGCAGTGTAGATGGTAAAGTAAGAGTGTGTGCAATGCCATTTTTGTGCAATTCTGATTTTTTAAGTAAAAATAAGTCGACGTGTAAATGGTTTATGTGTATGTGCTATTCGAAAAACGTGCAAGGAGTTTGCGATTCTGCACTTTTCCCAATTTTCAGTTTAATATTTGTCATGCTAAAGCAGTTTTGTAGAAAATTTCTAGCATCAGTGTAATTCGGCTAGTAGATTGTTGTGGAAAAAAGTGTTGAGTAAATAAAAAGAAAAAGAAACATGTCTTTATTTGTGAAGACAAAATGGCGGCGAAAAAAAAATAGAGGGTTGCTGTAGCAGAAATTGGTCGCCAAATTTTCGCCGAAAACTCGCCAAGTTCCATAAACCAAAGATCAACCATTCTTTGCATTATGAGATTTAAAATAACAAAAAACTTATACCCTGTCTTTAATGGCTTATTGGAACCTTAAAAATAATTAACTGAGTTACAACCCCTGAACTCTACAGGAAGCTACGACACAACTGCCATCAAAACGAGCTGACAACTTTCACACTGGCCAACTGTGCCTACATTAGGCCTTTCAGGATTGTTCTAATCAGCATCTCTCTCTAACAAGCAGCAGCATGAATATTCATCTTTTGTTATGTCATGCTGATGTGATCTTACTTCTCATTTTAATCTATGCCGTCTGCATAAACTCACCTGATATTTACTAACCTCTAGACTGACCAGTATGTGACAAAAATGAGACATAAAAAAATCAACGTAAAGCTACTGTTAGTAAAATGAATATCATTTATCTTCTTTCAATATGTCCACTGTTATAAGTGTAAAAGCTTAATTGCCTACTTGTAAAATTGCAAAAAGTTTTTTATTCTCACTTTTAATATTATGTTAATTAATTCATGTTTAGTAATGGTCCTTATAAGTCCTTAAAAGTACTTAATTCTGTGTGCAGAAATGTGTACGAACCCTCTAAAACTTTCAATGAATATTTGAATATATGTTGTAGCTGTGAAACTACATTGCGGTATTGTTAAAACAGATTTCCCATTAAATAAAGGTACTATTTCGTTTTAAGACCGAAAAAAATTGCAGCGAAAATGTATACGTAAAAGCGCCAAATCTAGCAAACGCGCCCATTTCACAGCGCACCAAATCTAGCGTACGCGCTGATTTCAAATTGCCTAAGTTTACATAGTTCTATCTTTCTTAAGACGCCATTGAAATACTAGTTTAATCCTTTTTTTTTTAATTCTTTTATGATAACGCTATGGATTTAACAATTTGAGAATTGCCCAGTAACGAAAATTCTGCAATAGAATATTTTCAAAGAATAGGCATCATTCATTATAGAAAATTATGTTTGAACAACAAACCAGATCAAATTATGCTTCAGTGATAACTCAGTAGCGAAATAGTGATGCAGGAATTCATTCAGTTATGTTTAGCCTTTTTTATATAAATTATAATATCTGTAAAATTATTTACTCGTATGCTTCCCTTCAGTTATGTTTGTTAGCCATTTTTATATAAATTATTATATAAAAGTATTATATGAAATTAACCTTTCTTCTAAATTAAAACAATAAAATCTTAGATTTATTTACTATTATACTTTCTTGTGTTAAATTTGCCGCAATTATTTTTAGCAGCACTGGCATCAACAATAGTTTGACGATTTTTACGGTCCTCGAAACGGAATAGTACCAAATAAAGTATTATGTTCTTATTTTTTCTTAAATCATCAGATAACAAAAATATCTTTTGGAATAAAAAGTAAATGTTTAAACGAATGCAGTAATAATATGTGCTATATTGTGGCCAGAAATAATTAATAAATTCTGTGGGTTCTTTAGCACATCTTTGTCAAACCATTTAACCTAATACCTTTGAAATATTGGGCACCCGTGTATTAGCCCTTAATATATGTAAATTTTATTTTTAATGTAGTTGAAAGATTAGTTATTTATGAATAGTGATTAAAAGAATTATTATAGCAGTATTCTAAATCAGTTTTTATGTTATGATTTGAATATCTGGTCATGAACATTTTTATGTATTTTCTTTTGTGATAAGGCCTTTGTTTTTCATTTTTCATTTCACAAACGTTAATACTTCTGCACAGCAGATTTTTTAAACAGAATTACTGTAGCGAACATTTTATAGACAAACAAAATCTGAAATAGTGCTATATTAGGCTAAATCAGCTAGCATGATGAAGTTAACAGAAAAGTGTGCAGATAGTTTTTATCTGTCTTTCTTCTGTATATGAATGATAGAAATTCAGTAATAATGGAAAAAGAATGTTCATAGAATACTATTATTATGTTTTAAAATTGTTAATTTAAATTATTTTAATATAAATTTTAGATGGGAACCCAAGAAGCATCATGCTCGAAGGACTTTGTTAAAGTCTGTTTTCATTTATAAAAAGCATCGTGTGCAGTATGAATTTCGGACTTATTTCAGGATTTTTGAAGTAAGATTTTTAATTTTGGTATAATTATGGTAAGCATTCATAAGCATTTTACATATATTTATTCCTTTTAATATACATGTAATACATATACTCAGAATTTTTTATAATACTTATATGATAGAAAGTGAAAATTAATATTGTGATTAGTTATATAATGTCTGCTTTTTACCATGAATAAAAAATATTTACCTAATAAAATCAGAGGAAAACTGGAAATACAAAAGCTAATATTCTAGATAGTAAATAACAGTATTTTAACTGAGGCTAAGGCCAATAAAATAAGTTAGCTTAGCATAACTGTTACTTAATTGATAATGATGTAGTATGTAATGCAGCAGTTATTTAGGATAACAAATAAAAAAGTTGCGTACCTATTCTCCCCTCATTCTGAGGTTGAACTCGTCAGAGAGACTTCGCTATCCTTCCTCAAAGATTTTAACAATGGCGGAAAACAAAAGTAGATGACTCTGCAGTCCACTTTGTCAACTCAGCAGTACCTTGAGGAGGCCCTTTGACCATTTCTAAATGGCCACTACAATGCTCTCTTCCAATGCAATAACGCTCATGCTGCTGGCATATAAAGAGGCTGCCATAACATCATGTACATTCTATCAAAACTCAAATTAATGCAGGACTACATTAGGAACCTCTGCTGTACAATTCTATGCTGTGATATGTAATTAAATGCATTGGAAATAATAGCAACCTGATGCGTCATTCAATATACCAGGTTGTTCAATAAGTTCGCGGAACGTAAATGAAGAAACCAATTTTTATTTGTAAAAATGACTTTATTTTTCAACTTAGTTTCTCTCAACTTCAATACACTTATTCCAACAGTCTTCTAATTTATGGATCCCTTGAATGTAGTGGTTTTTTGGCAGCTCTGCAAAAATATCCCTCCACGGCAGCTATTACCTTTTCGTTTGAAGAAAATCGGTTTTTCTACGGAGATATTGTTTGAGGCGTGGGAAAGAGCCAGAAGTCGGAGGGAGCTAAATCTGGCGAAGAGGACTGGATGTTGCAACAATTCGTACTTCAATTCAGTTATTTTAGCAATGGTGTTTTGAGCTGTGTGCGCAGGTACGTTATCCTGGTGGAAAATGATTTTCTTCTTCTGTAATCCGGGTCTTCTTTCACGAATTTTTCCGTCTAATTGATTCAGAAGGTAACAATAATAATCCAAATTAATTGTTTTGCCAGTTTGAAGGTAATCTATAAACAAAATTCCTTTCGCATCCCAAAAAAGTGATGCTAACACCTTTTTGGCTGATTTTTGCACACGAACTCGCTTCAGCGCTGAAGAGCTGGGTTCACGCCACTTCTTAGCCTCCTGTTTTGATTCAGGATCATGATGGTAGACCCAAGTCTCATCCGTTGTGATAAATCGATGGATAAAGTTGCTTTTATTCTTCTTAAAACGCTCCAAATGTTGCTGGCAAAGTCGCATCCGAATGTGTTTTTGCTCCATCGTTAGAGAATGCGACACCCATTTTGCACAGAGTTTTTTGAAACCCAAATTAATACTCAAAATATTGCTCACTGTGCCCAATGAAATGCCTAAAGCCTCTATTAAATCTCTTTCAGTCAATTGACGGTCTTCCAATACCATATCTTGTATTTTTCCGATGATTTCCAATGTTGATGCAGTTTTTGGACGTCCCTCTCGTGGATCGTCTTCAAGGCTGGTACGACCACTTTTGAATAAACTAGCCCACTTGCAAACCATTGTTTTTGAAGGAGAAGATTCACCCAACACATTCACCATTTCGGTATGAATTTCCATTGCCTGTAAACCTTTCTTTACAAAGAATTCGATAACTGCACGTTGCTCAATTTTATCCATACCTGAAAAAAGGCACAACACGTTAGATATAAAGGGCGGTTAAACAATGAATAAATTATCAGATCTAAATGAAACTTTTGACATGTTCCTAAGAAAGAACAAATATGAAAATAGCGTCGAAGTTTTGGGTCTAATATTGACAAATAGATGGCACTCTGCGAACTTATTGAACAACTTTATATGTATGTTAAATTAGTGCAATAAGTATTTACTATTTTACTATCTCAATTTGCTTTTTTAATTAGTTTTTGCTATTGCTAACTACTAAGTTTTTCAAAATAACATGCCAATCCAATACTTTCTTCTAAGCACAGCTGTTTTTTTTTTATTTTATTTTATTTTAAATGTCACCTTTGCAGTATCTCTGAATTTCATAGCTGACTATTTCTGAACACCTAGATCTGAGATAAGTTTAACATCTTATTACTCTGAGAAACTTTGAAATCGAGTTCTGTGTCTATCACACTTTTTTTTTAATCATTATTCAGAATTTATTGGCATCAGAAGGAAAATTTACCAGTGATTTTTTTTTTTTTTTTTTTTCTGTCCTTTCGTTGCACGTGTTGCTGCTACTCATGTTACTTTGTATTCACAATTTTGAATCTTGAGTATATGTGTTTAAGCAAATTTTGTTATATTGCTATTTATGTAGTAAATAATAACTAAGGCCTGGATTTTTTGGTGGAAAGAAATTTCTAATTTGATGCATGGAAAGATGGTTAAAAGTGAGCTATCTGGCAGATATGAAATCTCCTATGATACTTGAAGAAATTGAATCATTTTATATTACCTTACTATTTATTTACAAAATTAAAAATTTATAGAGTGAAATCTCAATTATTTCTCATTTGACCATGAAAAAGAAATGAAATTAATTATGTTTAACATTTCAGTATGAAAAATTGTTATGATGTTATTCAGTATTGAAATTGTTATTCAGTATGAAAAGCTTTTGTTATTTGAACAAAGCATGTACTTGAGTGAGAGAGTTTTCCACATCAGTACTAATTAAAGGGACATACTTGTTTTTTTTTTTTTTTTTTTTTTTGTGTGTGTGTGTGTGTGTGGTGAATTCCAATTAGGCTGTGTTCGAGCCTGTTGCAGGCAACACAGTTAGGATAATCTTTGATGTTGCAATATGTTTCATTTTTTTGTTTCAAAAATGACTGTGTTTCCAATTTTGTAATATATTCTGCAATAAATTAAAATTATGCATTTGAAGCAGCTTTTAGGAAGGTGTTAGACTTTCACTTAAAACATCTGGTATTTTCCACAACTTCTCATTTTGAATTATCAGACTAATTCAAATAATCTTTTTTATTATTAAAATGTTCTCAATAAAACATAGTTGCATTAATCCACATTTCCACCTTGTCACAAATAGATATACAAGGAGTAATAACTTGCTGGTGCCTATGTATTGCTGAATATGGCAAAGAGATTTAAGAATTACTTTCTTGATTTGCAGATGTTCATAAATAAGTGTAATGCATGCCACCTAATGCATTTTTTTATAAAACATTTTGAGTGTTTTTATGACCTTTAGTGTGTATGTTGCTTGATCTATAAAAACAAGACATGCACTCATGACTGTACTAAATGGTACTTTTTTTACTCATAAAAATGTATACCACTTTTGACGCTGTTGCTATTTTCCAGGCAGTATGTTTTCAGCGGCACTAATTTTATAGAATCCCCAGTCAACAGTGCAACAAGTAAATTCAATTTATATTTCCCCCCGGCCCACCAACGGCCGAGCGGTAAAGTCGCTGAACACTGGTAGTTTGGTCCAAGGTTCGAATCCCGCGAACAGGCTGGCTGCATGGGTGTTTTCGTGGTTTCCCTCATGTGTAATGTGTGTATGAGCCAGTTCCCTTAGAAAGTCCTCCACGAAGGCACCCCTCCCTGTAGGCAGATAGCCCTTGAGGCTTTGCCGTAATTAAATAACCTAACCTAACCTTATATTCCCCCCTGCCCCTCTAATTTCATCAGGAATATAATATATTAAATGGTTTCCTTTAACTAACTTAATGCAGGGCATTCTTTTATGATGTGCAGATGCTACTTTATCTCTTAAAGGCTGTTTTAATTCTGGAATGGAATTTAGATGTACTTTTCTGTGAATGTTTTCATAGCAGGATGATTTACTTTTCATAAATAGTATTCCAGTTTTATATAGTTATTAAATTAATAAATAAACTGAAATCATCTTGAATGCTTGATGATTTATTTATGCATTTAGAAATAAAATTAGGGTATTTATCTAAGAAATCATATATATATATATTTTTTTTGGTTGTTGTTGTAGTTGAAAGAATGTTTCATATTAAGAATCTAACTGACCAATTTTGTTACTTCATGTCCACTCTTATTCTTGTTTTTCAAAAATCAGGCTGAATGGCTGTTGATAGCAATTTCTTCTTTCTCACATTCTTTTCGAAGCATTTTCAATTGGCTGAACAAAGAAAAAAAACTTTGATTTTCCTTTTGTATAACTGGACATTTTATTAAAGGCCATTTTACCTGTTACGGAGTTTGAAAGAAGGGGAGGGGAGACAAATGATTGAAGTTAGTAACTAAGCATACAGTTAGGAATTGGTATATATTTGTTAATACTAGTAAGTGACATTTTTCAAACCATAAGCCTATCTTTAGAAATAAAATGTCCAATATTTAGCATTCAGGAATTGCATTTTTTCCTCATATATCCTACTTTTGGTGTATAAATGTTTAAGGTTATTTGTATATGGCAAAGCACATTAGGGTGCTTTTTGTATGTGACAAAGCATAAGAGGGCTGTCCTTTCACATTACTAAGGCTAACTTAAAAAAAAAAATATATATATATATATTTTGATTTTTTTTGTCATTGTATATAACAGTAATAACCATAAATAAAGAATATCAAGACATTCTGAAAACATTTTAATTAAAATCTAACTGCAAAATAAAATATTTGACTCATCTTGATTAAATGTTGTACAAAACTTATCTAAATCGATATCTAAACATATATAAAAAATAATAAAATATGTGATTAAATATTATAGCATAAATGATTCAGAAAGGAGACAGTGTGTGATAGTGTAGTCACTAGCATTTCATTAGTTATGAAGTATGTTTTGAGGTCAGGCTTTGTAATTATTCCAGTTAGA